TAACTGTTTTGATGGATTTTAATTGTGATTTTTCAAATCCTGATTGTGTTTAATTCTATGTTAATATTTCATTTTTTTAATATTTTAATTGTATATTAATACTTTTATGTCATGCCACTTTGTGTCCCCTTTGGGGAGATAAAGTGGGGTATAAAATATAATAATAATATAGTTATTACAACCAATATCTCATAGAGTCTCAACCAATTCTGCATTCGTTGTTTGTATGCCACAAAACACAAAGTTTCTGGAGTAGTACGACAACTTTCAAAGGAAGTAGTACTCAATTAAGCAGAAAATGACACTTTCGAACCATCAACCATTAAAATCCATCAATACGTTTTAAAAACTGTATGACACAGGGCCTTTCCAGATAGGCCCTATGTCCCAGGATCTGATCCCAGGTTTATTTTATTTAAACTGGATTATATGAGTCCACACTGCTAGATAATCTGGGATAAACAGAAAACCTGGGATCAGATCCTGGGATATGGGGCCTGTCTGGAAGTTGTCGCTATGGGGCCTGTCTAGAAGTTATCGCTTTGGGTTGTTGTGAGTTTTCCAGGCTGTATGGCCATGCTCCAGAAGCATTCTCTTCTGACATTTCACCTACATCTATGGCAGGCATCCTCAGAGGTTGAGGGGTCTGTTAGAAACTGGGTAAGTGGGGCTTATATACCTGTGGAATGTCCAGGGTGGGAGAAAGAACAGGGCCTTCTTGTCAGTGGCTCCCCATCTGTGGAACTCTCTCCCTAAGGACATCAGGTTGGCCACCTCCCTCCTGTCCTTCAGAAGACAATTGAAGACCTGGCTCTGGGGCCAGGCATTCGACTAGAGCAGGGGTAGGGAACCTTTGGCCCTCCAGCTGTGGTGGACTTCAACTCCCACAATTCCTTGAGGCTCGGCATTCGCCCCAAAGGCTTACCTTGGCCCAATGCCGAGCCTCAAGGAATTGTGGGAGTTGAAGTCCACCACAGCTGGAGGGCCAAAAGTTCCCTACCCCTGGACTAGAGGATAGTGGCAACATGGAAAGGAATTTTGCAATTTTTGCGACACTGGATTCTCCCGGCTTGGTTTAGGCTTTACTGGCACATTAATGTGAATGTACTTAAGTGAATGTACTGATGATTTTGTATAGTTTTAAAAATGATTTGACTATTTGAATTGTAATTTGATGGGGTATATGTTGTTAGCATCATTTGATGCTTATGTGAGGTCGCCCTGAGTCCCCTTATGGGGAAAAGGGCGAGGTAGAAATGTACGAAATCTATATAAATAAAATATAATGTTCGTTTGTGGGATTAACAGAACTCAAAAACCACTGGACAAATTGACACCAAATTTGGACACAAGACACCTAACAACCCAATGTATGTCCTTCACTCAAAAAGAATTGATTTTGTCATTTGGGAGTTGTAGTTGCTGAGTCCCCTTATTGGGAGAAAGGCAAGGTAGAAATGTATGAAATAATGATAACGATAATGATAATGATGATAATAATAATAATAATAATAATAATAATAAAGAACTCTTGCCTACTTGAGGCAAGTGTGAATGTTGCAATTTGCCAGCTTTTTTTGTCATGTCAGGAATGACTTGAGAAACTGCAAGTCGCTTCTGGTGTGAGAGAATTGGCCATCTGCAAGGACGTTGCCCAGGGGACGGCCGGATGTTTTGATGTTTTATCATCCTTGTGGGAGGCTTCTCTCATGTCCCCGCATGAGGAGCTGGAGCTGATAAAGGGAGCTCATCTGTGTTCTCCCTGGATTTGAACCTGCAATCTGTCGGTCTTCAGTGTTGCCAGCACTAGGGTTTAACCCACTGCACCACCGGGGGCTTCATTGGCCAGCTTGATTAGCATTGAATGGCTTTGCCACTGCAAAGCCTGGCTGCTTCCTGCCTGGGGGACCCTTTGTTGGAAGATGTTAGCTGGCCCTGATTGATTCTTGCCTGGAATTCCCCTGTTGCTCTTAGGATCAGATCCTGGGATATAGGGCCTGTCTGGAAGTGTTATGGCAGCATTTCTCAACCTAGGGGTCGGGACCCCTAGGGGGGTCGTGAGGGGGTGTCAGAGGGGTCACTAAAGACTGCCAGAAAACACTATTTTCTGTTGGTCATGGGGGTTCTGTGTGGGAAGTTGGGCCCAATTCTATTGTTGGTGGGATTCAGAATGCTCTTTGATTATAGGTGAACTATAAATCCCAGCAACTACAACTCCCAAATGTCAAGGTCTGTTTTTCCCAAACTGCACCAGTGTTCACACTAGGGCAGATTGAGTATCTGTGCCAAATTTGGTCAAGATCCTTCACTGTTTGAGGCCACAGTACTCTCTGGATGTAGGTGAACTACAACTCCAAAACTCAAGATCAATGCCCACCAAACCCTTCCCATATTTTCTGTTGGCCATGGAGTTCTGTGTACCAAGTTTGGTTTGATTCCATCGTTGGTCGAGTTCAGAATGCTCTCTGATTGCAGGTGAACTATAATTCCCAGCAAGTACAATTCCCAAATAACAAAATCAATTTTTTTGAGTGAAGGACATACATTAGGTTGTTAGGTGTAATGGCTCCAAATTTGGTGTCAATTCGTCCAGTGGATTTTGAGTTCTGTTAATCCCACAAACGAACATTACCTTTTTATTTATATCGATTGCTCTTAGGATCAGATCCTGGGATATAGGGCCTGTCTGGAAGTGTTATGGGCAAGCAGTTGTTTCTTTCTAGGGCTGCAGAATTAATGCAGTCTGACAAACACACACACACAATGAATGCCATGAATCTACAAACTACAAGAGAGGAGATTCCATCTGAACATGAGGAAGAACTTCCTGACTGTGAGAGCCGTTCAGCAGTGGAACTCTCTGCCCCGGAGTGTGGTGGAGGCTCCTTCTTTGGAAGCTTTGAAACAGAGGCTGGATGGCCATCTGTCAGGGGTGATTTGAATGCAATATTCCTGCTTCTTGGCAGAATGGGGTTGGACTGGATGGCCCATGAGGTCCCTTCCAACTCTGTGATTCTATTCCAGTGGTTCTCAACCTACTGAATGCCGTGACCCCTTTCTACATTTCCTCATGTTGTGGTAACCACCAAGCATAAAATTATTTTTTCTTGCTACTTCATAACTATAATTTTGCTACTGTTATGAATTGTAATGTAAATATCTGATATGCAGGATGTATTTTTATTCACTGGACCAAATTTGGCACAAATACCCAATACGCCCGAATTTGAATACTGGCAGAGTTGGGAGGAATTGATTTTGTCATTTGGGAATCGTAATTGCTGGGATTTATCGTTCACCTACAATCATGAGCATTCTGACCTTGAGTTTTGGAGTTGTAGTTCATCTATATCCAGAGAGCACCGTGGACACAAACAGTGGTGGATCTGGACCAAACTTGGCACGGATACTCAATATGCCCAAATGTAAACATTGGTGGAGTTTGGGGAAAATAGACTTTGACATTTGGGAGTTGCTGGGATTTATAGTTCACCTACAATCCAAGAGTATTCTGAACCCCACCAATGATAGAATTGGGCCAAATTTCCCACAAAGAATCCCCATGACCAACAGAAATACTGTATTTTCTGATGGTCTTTGACGACCCTTCTGACACTCCCTTGTGACCCCCTTGGGGGTCCTGACCCCCAGGTTGAGAATCGCTGTAATCTATTCTATGAATCATAGAATCATAGAATCAAAGAGTTGGAAGAGACCTCATGGGCCATCCAGTCCAACCCCCTGCCAAGAAGCAGGAACATCGCATTCAAATCACTCCCGACAGATGGCCATCCAGTCTCTGTTTAAAAGCTTCCAAAGAAGGAGCCTCCACCACACTCCGGGGCAGAGAGTTCCACTGCTGAACGGCTCTCACAGTCAGGAAGTTCTTCCTCATGTTCAGATGGAATCTCCTCTCTTGTAGTTTGTAGATTCATGGCAGTTCATTGTGTGTGTGTGTTTGTCAGACTGCATTAATTCTGCAGCCCTAGAAAGAAACAACAGCTTGCCCATAACACTTCCAGACAGGCCCTATATCCCAGGATCTGATCCTAAGAGCAATCTATATAAATAAAAATGTAATGTATTGTCGAAGGCTTTCATGGCTGGAATCACTAGGTTCTTGTGGGTTTTTTCGGGCTATAGGGCCATGTTCTAGAGGCATTTTCTCCTGACGTTTCGCCTGCATCTATGGCAAGCATCCTCAGAGGTAGTGAGGTCTGTTGGAATTAGGAAAATGGGTTTATATATCTGTGGAATGGCTGGGGTGGGGCAAGGAGCTCTTCTCTGCTGGAGCTAGGTGTGAATGTTTCAACTGACTACCTTCATTAGCATTTGAAGGCCTGGCTGAGCCTGGGGAAATCCCCTGTTGAGAGGTGTTAAGATGTAATGTAATGTTTGTTTGTGGGATTAACAGAACTCAAAAACCACTGGACGAATTGACACCAAATTTGGACACCTAACAACCCAATGTATGTCCTTCACTCAAAAAATTGATTTTGTCATTTGGGAGTTGTAGTTGCTGGGATTTATAGTTCACCTACAATCAAAGAGCATTCTGAACCCCACCAATGATGGAATTGAACCAAACTTGGCACACAGTTCTCCCATGACCAACAGAAAATAGTGGACCTGACTGTGAGAGCTGTTCAGCAGTGGAACTCTCTGCCCTGAAGCATGGTGGAGGCTCCTTCTTTGGAAGCTTTTAAACAGAGGCTGGATGGCCATTTGTCAGGGGTGATTTGAATGAATATTCCTGCTTCTTGGCAGGGGGTTGGACTGGATGGCCCATGAGGTCTCTTCCAACTCTTTGATTCTATGATTCTATGATCTTGCCGAGGAGTTTGGGTCAAGGCCTTGCAAAACTACAGCTCCCAGGATTCCAGAGCCACGGCAGGAAGAGCAAAAGGTTTCACCTGAGGAGAGGCCCCTCCCTCCCCAGCTCCGTTTCCCTGGCAACCGCGCCCCTCCCTCCCCCTGCCCCCCCCCCCACCCGCACTCACGATGGTGACGCTGGCCTTGCGGAGGTCGCGGTTCTCCTCCTGGAGCGCCTTGCACTTGAGCTTGTAGGTCTCCAGCTCGATCTTGAGCACCTTGTTCTCCTGCTGCAAGGAGGCCAGCCGGTTGGTCAGCTCCTCCAGGCGAAAGGGAGAGATCACGATGCCGCCCGCCTTGGGTTGGCCCGCCGAGGACGAGGTCGCCGCCGAGGAAGAGGAGGAGGAGGACGGCGAGGAGGACGGGCAGCCCGGCGGCGCCGCCCCGCCCGGAGCCCCCACGCCGCCCCCGCCGTCCGTGTCGCTCTCGCTGGCGCTGTCGGCCATCCTGGAGGGAGCGCGGGGCCGCTCCGAGAGCGCCTTGGGCTCGACCTCGCCTCCGCCTGACTCCTTCGCTCGCCTCGCCGCTCCACGGGCTGCAGCCAGGGCCGGAGGAGGAGCTCGCCGCTGAGGAGAAGGAGGAGGAGAACAACCACTGCGCATGCTCCCGGCGCCTTGGGAAGCCGCGCGCGCTCGGCGCCGAGAAGCCAAGGCCGGCGCCGCCTCGCGCCCGCCTCGCGCCCTACCCACAGCGCCGCCACCCGCCAATGGCGGCACTGCAGCCCTAGCTCCGCCAAAAGGAGACCACAGACATCACCACCACCCAGGCCTGTAGCGAGGGGGTGGTTTTAGGGGTTCAACCCCCCCCCGAAATGTTTCAGATTTTTTTTAAAAAACCTGGTTTACTCATGAATTTTAACTGGTTAACCAAATCCTCATGCTAAGTCTATGAGATGCAAAAAATTAAGAGTCCCTCCAGAACTGTAAGCACTATCTCAAGCAAATATTGACAATTTATTCACACTGTCATTACTTGCAGCAATAGCCGATGTAGTGAAGCAACCAAGTTGGGGTGTGTGTGTGTTGAATGCTCTCATTAAGGAGGCCAGACTTGGTGGAGGTGGTTGACAGGGGTGGAGCTGCAGGCTATTGAAGGTTGCTCTGCCCCCTGCTGTGCTCTTTGCTTCAGCGTGAGCTAGGAGGCAGGTTTCAACCCCCCCCCCCCCGAAATTTTCAACCCTCCCCAAAATTTTCAAACCCCCCCCCCCCGAAATTGTCAACCCTCCCCGAAATTTTTTTCTGGCTACGGCCCTGCCACCACCACCATCATTGAGCATTCTTGCAGATGGCGGAACATCTACACCAGACATCCTCAAACTGCAGCCCTCCAGCTTGTTCAGTGGTCAGGAATTCTGGGAGTTGGAGGCCCAAACAGCTGGAGGTCCGCAGTTTGAGGTTGCCTGATCTACCCAAATGACCAGGCACTGCCAGAAGGGACAGAGTTTCATCTATGCTGATGATCGTGCCATCACCACTCAAGCAGGGAGCTTTGAGATGGTAGCTTTCCAAAGCTCTAGGTCAGGGGTCCTCAAACTAAGGCCCAGGGGCCGGATGCGGCCCTCCAAGGTCATTTACCAGGCCCTCGCTCAGGGTCAACCTAAGTCTGAAACGACTTGAAACCACACAATAAACGGTTCTGGCCCAGCCTACCTATCCGAACGCATCTCTTCCTACGAACCCTCCAGGAAGTTAAGATCATCTGAGGAGGCCCTGCTCTCGACCCTGTCTGCTTCGCAAGCACGCTTGGCGGGGACGAGGGACAGGGTCTTCTCTGTGGTGGCCCCTCGGCTGTGGAACTCCCTGCCTAGGGATATTAGATCAGCCCCCTCCCTCCTGACCTTTCGTAAGAGAGTGAAAACCTGGCTCTTCGAGCAGGCATTCGGAACCCCGGAATAGTCAAGCTTGAGATGGAGAATGACCCAAGAACGGCCAAGACGATGAAACGGATGAGGATTGGATTGAGAGGATATAGCTCTTTTTACACTGTTATTGCACGTGTAATAGTGTAATGTTTTTGTCATTGCTTATGTTTTAATTTTTGCTTTGTATAGTATTGTTATTGTTTGCTGTTGTTGTGTTGAGGCCTTGGCCTTTGTAAGCCGCATCAAGTCCTTCGGGAAATGCTAGCGGGGTACAAATAAAGTTTAATAATAATAATAGTTGAACATATATCAGGGTCATCGAATCATGCAGTTGGAAGAGACCACATGCACAATCAAAGCACTCCCGACAGATGGCCACCCAGCCTCTGTTTACAAACCTCCAAGGAAGGCGCTACCACCACACTCCGAGGCAGGGAGTTCCACTGTAGAACAACTCAGGATCAGGAAGTTCTTTAAAAAATATTTTATTAGGGTTTTGTTTAAATAAATGAAAAAGAAAATAGATATTGTAACACTGAAAGTGGGAGAACAATTTATTTGGGTTGTTGTAGATTTTTCTGGGCTATATGGCCATGTTCTAGAGGCATTTTCTCCTGACGTTTTGCCTGCATCTATGGTAAGCATCCTCAGAGGTAGTGAGGTCTGTTGGTAGTAGGAAAATGGGTTTCTATATCTGTGGAATGACCAGGGTGGGACAAAGGACTTTTGTCTGTTGGAGCTAGGTGTGAATGTTTCAACTGACCAAGCATTTAATGGCTTGGATGTGCCCCGGGGGAATCTTTTGTTGAGAAGTGATTTGATGTGCCTGATTGTTTACTCTCTGTTGTTTTGCTGTTGTAATTTTTGAGTTTTTTAATACTGGTAGCCAGATTTTGTTCATTTTCATGGTTTCTTCCTTTCTGTTGAAATTGTCCACATGCTTGTGGATTTCAGTGGCTTCTTTGTGTAGTCTGACATGGTGGTTGTGAGAGTGGTCCAGCATTTCTGTGTTCTCAAATAATATGTTGTGTCCAGGTTGGTTCATCAGGTGATCTGCTATGGCTAATTTCTCTGGTTGAAGTAGTCTGCATATTTATTTATTATTCAAACTTATATGCTGCCACTCCCCTGGGGCTCGGAGCGGCTTACAAGGACAGGCTAAAATCTAACACAATTTTAAAACCATTTAAAAACAGCAATATCAGAGATCAAAGGCCTGTCGAAACAGATATGTCTTACATGCCCTGCGGAAAGCTGACAAGTCCCGCAAAGCACGGACTTCAGGTGGCAGAGTATTGTAGAGTGATGGTGCCACTGCTGTAAAGGCTCTGCGTCTGGTTGCTGTTAGGCGCAAGGTCTTGACACTGGGGATTTCCAATAGATCTTGGTCCTCAGAATGGAGAGATCTCTGGGGTTGTTGTTTGTTGTTCATTCGTTCAGTCATTTCCGACTCTTCGTGACCTCATGGACCAGCCCACGCCAGAGCTCCCTGTCGACCATCACCTCCCCCAGCTCCTTCAAGGTCAAGCCAGTCACTTCAAGGATACCAGCCATCTTGCCCTTGGTCAGCCTCTCTTTCTTTTTCCTTCCATTTCCCCAACATACGGGAGAACAATATCATCATCTATATAAATAAAAATGTAATGTTCGTTTGTGGGATTAACATAACTCAAAAACCACTGGACGAATTGCTGCCAAATTTGGCCACAAGACACCTACTAACCGAAGAAGTGACCATCACTCAAAAATTGATTTTGTAATTTGGGAGTTGTAGTTGCTGGGATTTATAGTTCACATACAATCAAAGAGCATTCTGAACCCCACCAACGATGGATTTGAACCAAACTTGGCACACAGTTCTCCCATGACCAACAGAAAATACTGGAAGGGTTTGGTGAGCAGTGTCCTTTAGTTTTGGAGTTTTGAAGGGAGGGTGAAAGGAAAAGAAGGAAAGGAAAGGAAGAAGGAAGGAGGGACTGGATGGAAGGGAAGGAGGGGAAGAAGGAAAGGAAGGAGGGAGGAACAGGAAGGGAAGGAAGGGGGAGGAAAGGAAGGGAAAGAAGGAAGAAAAGGGGGAGGAAAGAATGGAAGGGAGTGAGGAAGAGAAGGAGTGTGGCAGAGGGAGCTACTTCCCGGTCTGGATGTTAATAGAAGAGAGAGAGAGAGAGTTAAATGTGTGCTCATGTTGCCGGAGACAGATCTACAGAATTGAGAGAGAAGGAGAGGGAGGAAAGAAAGAAGGGGTTGGAGGAGGAAGAAGGGAGCAGGACGCAGAGGAATGGGAGAATTAAAAAATAAAATTTGTTTCCGCCTCTTTCTTTCCTCCTTTCTGCAGTGAAGGGAGGGCGGCAAGGAAGAGTTTTTGAGTGGAGAACATACATTGGGTTGTTAGGTGTCTTGTGTCCAAATTTGGTGCCAATTGCCCCAGGGGTTTTTGAGTTCTGTGAATAGCACAAACGAACATTACATTTTTATTTATATAGACGTGGTGTCGTGGTTTGAGTGCTGGACTATGTCTCTGGATATTCGGGTTTGATTCCCTGCTCAGTCATGAAAACCCTCTGACAGGATTTCCTTAGGGTTACAGTAACTCAGAAATAACTTGAAAGCACACAACAACACCAACAACAACAAACAAACAAACAACAGACTCCTTCACCACTCTCATTTAATAAGGATATTGCTGGCAGGGACCAGATGGATGTAAAACAGAGACACAACAGGAATTGAAATAGCAGTCATGCCATCTACTATAAAGCACTGGGGTGCACTGTGTCATTCTTTGTAAGGTGAAGTAAAACACATTTGAGTGGATTGGAGGAGGAGAAAATAAAATAGAAAAGCCTGCTTTTCTTTGGGTACAAGGGGTATATTTTCATTTTGGTGACTAGCACTGGTGAGTCAGCATGGTAGTTTGAGCATTACAAGGTTTGATTCCCCATTTGGCCATGGAAACGTACTGGATGAGTCTAACCCTCAGAAAACCCTGTGACAGGGTAGCCGCAGGGTTGCCATAAAAAGGAAACAACCTGAAAGTGAACAACAAGAAAGGTTAGTATTGACTCACCCTAATGGACAGCAATGGCAGGAGCATCTTTCTTTCAGTCTGGCAGCAGCAACACAAGATAATCAGTGCCTACTTTTTTCCCCTTATATTCAAAATAGCCCATCTTTTTCAAATAGACAGATAACCTCAATTGAGGTCACAATGGCCAATCTCTCTCACACAGTTAAGCATCAGCAACACAAGATCACAATGGGGCATCCAAGCTTCAAGCAACAAGCATCAGCATTAGGTCACAATTGCCTTTCTCTTTTTCTTCTTTCAGATAGTCTCCATGAGTTTAGGTGGAAAAATTGTATATTTGGGTTGTTGTAGGTTTTTTCAGGCTATATGGCCATGGTCTAGAGGCATTCTCTCCTGACGTTTCGCCTGCATCTATGGCAAGCATCCTCAGAGGTAGTGAGGTCTGTTGGAACTAGGAAAAAGGGTTTATATATCTGTGGAATGACCAGGGTGGAACAAAGGACTCTTGTCTGCTGGAGCTAGGTGTGAATGTTTCAACTGACCACGTTGCTTAGCATATAGTGGACTGACAGTGCCTGGAGCAAACTTTTGTTGAGAGGGATCCTCTCACTTCTGCAGGAGTCTATCGTATACCATGCAGCTGTGGACAAGTCTACATAGGGACCACCAAACACAGCATTGCCCAAAAACGAAATCAAGAAACATGAAAGGCACTGCAGACTAATTCAACCAGAGAAGTCAGCCATAGCAGAGCACCTGATGAACCAACCTGGACACAGCATATTATTTGAGAACACAGAAATGCTGTACCACTCTAACAACCACCATGTCAGACTACACAGAGAAGCC